TCCAAAGACGAGGGAAACGCAAACCCAATAGACACACTAAACGTTACAATATTTGAAGGAGAAAAATAAATTTGTGACGAGTCGCGTGATGACTTACACACAAAGGAATGTATTTCTAAGACATAGAAAAATACACAAATCAAACCAATGAGCTGTTCATCATAGATTGAGAACGTAACATCCACCTCAAGCAATGAGAACGGTTCGATTGAATACTGACTTCAAACACAGTCACGGCATTGAAAACAATTGGTGAAAACCGAAAGGCAAAGCAACGCGATTTTCGCGGACGGACATCGATACTTCACAAAACGGGAGCAGTCTTATGGTTTGTTCCCAAGCTCAAGAGTTTGGAAACATGCACTGCACTTCACAGCACAGCATATTCCTAGATGGACCTTCTTAATAATATCGCCATAATACGCACTCCACACTTAAATAACTTGGGTGACAATTCTTTTCTGACGAAAAAAATGCAATACAGTACAGAACAATACTTCGCACAACAGACCTGCTTCCCACGCTGCTTTTTGCACGTCTTGCTCATATTTGTGCCTGTAATACTGTACTGCGATACAGTAAGCAAGTCCACCTTTCCTATACTGTACTGCACTAGCGCAACCGTACTGTTGAAAGCAGCAGGTTCACGACCTGGTTTGCCATTTTTTGGTCTTGGAAGTAGGACGTCATTTTTAAGAAAAATTCCAGGTCAAAATTGTATCAGGAAATGACCACTTGAGTTTCCACATGATTTAAACCCAAGAACAGTAATGTGTTGTGCAGTACTGCATTCTCTCTTCTGTGCTTATGAACATATGAGGAACATGATACCTCAAGAGTTAAAATAATTTTCAGCTTCAATAAACTAGGTTTGAAGTTTTATTTTACTTCCGGGACTAGAATTAAACTAACCCAGTGAGTGTTGCACAAGTCCAGACCAAAGAAATCTCATGGACAGATCAAGATTGTGACACCGTCATCCTGTTCAAAGTTCCCCGCTGTACGCACAGAAAACCTGTAACTGGTTCGATTCATGGCTGCGCTTTAGGAAAGCTACGATAAATTTATTTCAGATCTCCGTTGCATCGAATTCGGGTATGGGAAATTTTTGCGATTAGAGATCCATTTCAGCCTCGTATTCATGAAGCAGTGATACCCGCATGGCTCGAATCGTTTCCGATACTCCGTGGTTGTATGTCTTGGTTCTGTTTCTATACATTCACTTGATGCTTCAACGGTTTAGGATCGGTGACCGTTTGCCGGTTGAATGCGTCGGATCGAAAAGCATTGAATTTGTGTGCCGTATGATTGATGTTAGGGTTCAAATTCGCGTTTTAATTCAGATTCTTGTAGAGTCGAATACAAATTTCCGATTTCCGTGGTATTTTCAGAGCCTGAGATTCAGCTATTTTTCACACATTGCACTTGAATCAAAATTATTATCATCATCTCAGTAAAATCTTTGCCTTGCCTGTGAGCATATTGATGTACAGTACAGTAGATTGATGTAGTTGACATGGGATCAGTGTGGGTTTTATGTGCACTGTGGTTCCATAAGAGTGGAGGAGCGAAGAATCGTTAGGTAATAGCAGATGCAGTAGAGTACTCCGTTTTCCTTGTAGAAACTCAGCCGGAAATGATAGATTTTCTGTAATTCCTAAGTTTCTGAACATTTTCCTGAAATTACATTCGCAGGACTGACGTGATTAAACGAATCATAATTCCGAGTGATTGATCCGCCGTTGGTTGATTGAACGCAACCATGGCCGTCAATGTTTATTCGACTAGTGCTATGCCTGACTCCATGAGTCGGCATGATTATTTGCACTGGGTCAATACCTGCCTTAAGACGGAGTTCAAGAAGATTGAGGAACTTTGCACTGGTGCCGCCTACTGCCAATTCATGGACATGCTCTTCTTAGGTGCGGTAAACTTGAAAAAAGTTAAAATGACGACGAATCTCGAGCACGAGTATATCCACAATTTCAAAATCCTCCAAGTAAGTGTCACCAAAATGAAATTCAAGTACATCGTGTTCAAGGGAAGAGTGCGTTTTTTTCAGGCTGCGATGAAGAAAATGAGTGTTGATAAGGCTGTTCCGGTGGACCGTTTGGTGAAGGGCAAGTTCCAAGACAATTTCGAGTTTTTGCAATGGTTTAAGAAGTTTTTTGACGCCAACTACAACGGTGATGTGTATGATGCATTGGAAGCTCGAGGCGGAGAGGAAATGGGTCTCAAGAAAGGTACAGGCGGTCCTGGAAAGCCGGCCGGCGGAATCCCAGCTGCTCGTCGTGTTGTTTCGCCAGTAAAATCCTCTGTTCCTGCTGCCCCTGCTGCTCGGAAACGTAAGAGAATTTTCTGCTTTCGTTAGTTCATCGTTTTGGATTAGGTTCAAAACGAAATATTTCTGTCATTTTTAAAATGTTTTGTGGACTTATGTGCCGTCGTTGCACGCTGGAGAAATCGTGTTAATATGCGCGAAAAGCGGTTCGGGTGTGGCCTGTAAGTCGGTTAATGGACGTGTTGATACCAAATTGGAAGTGATTCATCTCCTGTATTGAGTGTACTGTATTAGCCGAATAATGTAAAGCCACATATGATTTCCAATTGGTTCGGATTCTTCGAGATGTCACTCAAAGCAATGTGAGTCGTCCCGACTTAAGAACGACTCGACCTGCGTAGTATTCGGCTTACACACTTGAAACAAGCTGCTCCGACATCCGGACAATGTCTAATGGGCGCTCGACAAACATTTTCTAGAATAATCGAAATTTTTTTCTTAAAGTAAGTCATCTATTGAGCAAGTAGAGCTATTTATATTCATAAAAAGTTTAAATAATGTTCTGTACATCTTATTAATATTCTCCAATTGATCAAAAATAGGCTAATTTTCTGCTTCTATTTGTTGGGGTTTTCCATCATCTGCATGTCCACAATACTTCGTGCTTGTTCATTGCTTTTTGGACTCCTTTTCATGCCAAGAGTGCGACAAGTTGAAAATAAATTTTACTGCATTCGAATTTTATGGGAATTTTTCGAAATTGTTGACGAACATGAGAACGAAATAAATATGTTCCTAATGGAAAACTTGATCTGACTTGCGGACATTCTGATGTAGGGGCATTGCTAAAAACCTATTATACATCTTGGAGATCCACTGTTAAATGGCTGATACATTCTGAATTTTTCGGAAATATTCTTACCGTAACATTCTTCATGACCTGTTTTTATTTTTGAACTAAATTTCAGCTTCGGGAGTCGTGAGGTCAGCCTTGCAGCCGGT